ATCTCATCAGTCAAATATGGGTGGACCAACCCCAGGACTACATAGACAATTTGATTGACAGCATGGGACGCCGTATTCAGCAGTGCATGGAGAGAAACGGTGAACTAACAGACTATTGACTTGCATAAATGTAAACTTCAGTATCCAGAGTGGATGTATGAAAAATATAACTGAATTTATCAGTAAATAAATTTTGAAACTACGTCCATGCAAAGGCGCATTTTTCTGCTCGCTACTGTACATACTCCGTTTCATGCCTGCATCTGTGTATGCCTCTCCACTGGATAGTATGAAATCATCAGTCAGGCTTTCTTTTGTTATTCTGAATCTTTCTGCACCGATCTGAATATGAAACTGATGATGCAGTCTCACTTTTCTCTTTCATTTTGAGTCAGACTTTGATAAGACAGTGCAAGACTTTATTAAATCTCATATGTGAGATACCAGTTAAGATTTTCCTGTAAGTGAAGAGCTCAGTCAAATATGGGTGGACCTACCCCAGGACTACATAGACAATTTGATTGACACCATGAGACGCCGTATTCAGCAGTGCATCGAGAGAAACGGTGGACTAACAGACTATTGATTTGCATAAATGTAAACTTCAGTATCCAGAGTGGATGTATGAAAAATATAACTGAATTTATCAGTAAATATATTTTGAAACTACGTTTGTCAAAAGTCGCATTTTTTCTGCTCGTTACTATATATAACGCTTGTGTGTGTATACAGATCTAAAGCTCGTATATCTACATATCTATCGCTGGTATGTCTACAGATCTAACGCTCGTCTGTCTACAGATCTAAAGCTCGTGTGTCCACAGATCTAACGCTCGTGTGTCTACAGACGAAACGCTCTTGTCTTAAGATCTAACGCTCGTGTGTCTACAGACCTTATTGTGTGGCTACAGACCTTACGTTCGTGTGTCTACAGATCTAACGCTTGTGTGACTGTAGATGTAACGCGTAAAGCTCATCAAACAGATAACTCGACTAAAATGTTAATAATTTCAAAGCTGATAAAGTAAAAGTATAGACTTCTAGTTTTTTTCAATGGGTACGAGTCTATTTGAAAAGTTGTAGATTTTGACCCAAAGAAAGCCCATGCTAGATAAGGCAATATTGTCGTCCCCTCTTTTTTAAATGTGCAGCACACAAGCTTCAGCTGCTCAGACCTTTCCCAAGGAGATCATGACTACGGGAACTGTTGAATACAGACGTTACTCAGAAGGAAGCGTGCATTGGGTTAGCTTATATAATGGGTGCAGTTTATGTGCACTAACTGTGGTAATGTCACAAACTTGAACAAATACATGGTATCAACTCCCAGGGAGAACAAGATAACTCCCACTAAACTACAAAGCAAGTGGCGGGGACATGCCAGATTGACAGAGACAGGCTTCTGGTCTTGCTCGACTTGAGTCGCGCCTTCGGCACCATCGACCACCACAAAGTGTTTAATCGACTCCAGCATGAAATGGGTATATGTGACACAGCACTCCACTGGTTTCAGTCCTACCTTCAGAATCGATCTCAAAATATGTCCATTAATGGCAGCTTGACAGAACCCACGTTGCTGAAATATGGCATGCCCCTAGGATCTGTTTATGGGCCCCAGTTTTTCACTCTCTTCATGAAACCATTGGGATCTATGATAGAAAATCACAACCTTTTATGCAGATGATTCCCAACTGTAAACACGTTTCAAGCCAACTCATGCTGACGCCAAAGTAGCCGTGGATACAACCGCCGATTGCTGCAAAGCGTGAAAACCTAAATATGCTCAAGCTCAACGAGGAAAAAACAGAATCAATTCTTATTGGCCCGATGAACAGACGCGATAAGACCAATCTTACCAACATCAGAGTAGGAAGCAATGAGATCACACTCAGTGCTGCAGTCAAAGACCTCGGTGCCACTCTTGACAACGAGCTGTCAATGGAGAAGCATGTACATCAACTATCCAAGACATTGTACATGCACATCCGTAACACCATCGAAATCCGCAAGCTGATCTCAAAAGATACGACAATCAAGCTGGTGAGGCCATTGATATTATCTTGGCTGGACTACTGCAACGTTCTACTAACGGGTCTCCCAAAGGGATTAGTTAACAAACTACAGCGTGTACAAAACACAGCAACAAGAATTGTAACCATGTGCCCCAAACGAGAACACATTACACCAATACTCCGATGCCTGCACTGGCCACCTATACAAGAGAGGATTACATACAAAACCTTGTGTATAACATTCCAATGCATCCAGGGTACAGCGTCAGTCTATCTGCAAGAGCTTCTCAAGCCATACTTTCCACCTACATCTCTGTGATGCCAGACAAAAACTTGCTGCAAGTGCCAAGAACAACAACAAAGACCTATGGCGAACGGCCTTTCTCCCACATCAGTCCAATGGAACCAACTGCCAGAAAATCTGCTATGATGTGACAATTTCTCAAGTTTTAAACTCTACTCAATACCCATCTCTTTCTTGTGGGATACCTCTAAAACTCTTTCTTACGTACTTCAAAGCGCCTTTAGCATGTCATTCAAAGTGGATATTGCGCTATAGAAACTGACATTATTATATTATATTATATATATGAATTCCATTTGGCCACACTTTTCTAGATACATCTCTGATAAGCCAATTAGCATATCTACTGAATTAAGCAATATATGCATGCATAATGAACACATTCACACGGCTGTTTTCTTGCAAACTATACATGCTTTGAACGTTATTCTAGACATAAAACATAACCGGCTGAAGGTGAGAAATGCATATAAAAGAGAGAAAGATATTTAGTGCAAAATGGACAGTGTTCCCATCGGTCACTTCGTTCGTTACAGATTAAGACGGAGAAATATTAAGGAGAACTTTTGTAGTTTGGCATCAGTCATTTTATTAGCTTAAAAGTACATCGACTCCATTGAAAAGACCTTAAAACATAGAAATACATAATGAGATACAAAAAAACCAAGATGTTTAGGAAAGATTTACAAATGTCTGAACAGTGAGCATAATATATGTAATCAGCAATCCTTGCTAGTGCTGTCAGAACTGAATCGTGTTTGTTTTATACCATAAAGCCATAAATCCTGTACATTAGAACACGTGTCAAACTTACAACTTTATCCCATCATTGGAACAAAATACTGAAAAGAATCTAATCAAAAATACTCAAAAACACATTTTCGCGCACACAAAAATACTAAAAACATAAAACTAAAGGTAAATCCTCACAGTAACTGCTTACTAAAAAAAAACATTGTGAAAATACCTTGGGAGTAACCCGGACATAAACTTCATTGATTTTAACATTTACACTGACGAGGCAGGGACGTAGACGGCCCTCAAACCTGTTGTACACGTGGCGGAGACTGTAAGTGATCGATAAACACGCTCACAACACAGTGGGCCTGATTCTCTTCAGAGGTACTACGTACATAGGACCACAGAGACGTGGCTGAGTGATAGGATTAGGAAACAATATGTCTGTCTACTGCGTGATAACACTCATAATTACAAATACCACAGAGAACCCAATTGACAACTATCATTTCATTCCTTGAGCAGCATTCACAGTCTCAATACACACACAGTGGGTCTGATTCTAGGTGTGGCCTAGTCTTCATGTCAGAGGTAATACATATATGTATATATATATAGACACAGTGGGTCTGATTCTAGGTGTGGCCTAGTCTTCATGTCAGAGGTACTACACATACAGGGACACAGTGGGTCTGATTCTAGGGGTGGTCTAGTCTTCATGTCAGAGGTAATACATATATGTATATATATATATAGACACAGTGGCTCTGATTCTTGGGGTGGTCTGGTCTTCATGTCAGAGGTAATACACATACAGGGACACAGTGGCTCTGATTCTAGGGTTGGTCTAGTCTTCATGTCAGAGGTAATACATGTACAGGGACACAGTGGGTCTGATTCTAGGGGTGGTCTGATCTTCATGTCAGAGGTAATACATATACAGGGACACAGTGGGTCTGATTCTAAGGGTGGTCCGGTCTTCATGTCAGAGGTAATACATATTCAGGGACACAGTGGGTCTGATTCTAGGGGTGGTCTGGTCTTCATGTCAGAGGTAATACATATACAGGGACACAGTGGGTCTGATTCTTGGGGTGGTCTGGTCTTCATGTCAGAGGTAATACATATACAGGGACACAGTGGGTCTGATTCTAGGGGTGGTCTGGTCTTCATGTCAGAGCTAATACATATACAGGGACACAGTGGGTCTGATTCTAGGGTCGGTCTGGTCTTCATGTCAGAGGTAATACATGTACAGGGACACAGTGGGTCTGATTCTAGGGGTGGTCTGGTCTTCATGTCAGAGGTAATACATATACAGGGACACAGTGGGTCTGATTCTAGGGGTGGTCTGGTCTTCATGTCAGAGGTAATACATGTACAGGGACACAGTGGGTCTGATTCTTGGGGTGGTCTGGTCTTCATGTCAGAGCTAATACATGTACAGGGACACAGTGGGTCTGATTCTAGGGGTGGTCTTGTCTTCAGGTCAGAGGTAATACATATGCAGGGACACAGTGGGTCTGATTCTAGGGGTGGTCTGGTCTTCATGTCAGAGGTAATACATATACAGGGACACAGTGGGTCTGATTCCCAGAATCAAACATAAAACCCAACACTATATTGCTCTAAACTCAAATTATTGCAGTGGATGACCGTCATTAACACAACTCACAGCTTACAATAGTGTTATAAAACCAACCCGGCCATAAACTTCATGAATTATAACACCCCCCTAACTGAATCGGACGATGACAGTTATGAACCTAGCACGGACGTTCACAGCGCAGCTGATTTACAAGCACAGTTGCAAGTTCAGTGACAGTTTCCCAGTTCGTCGTATCAGTGACCGCAGTGTTAGAATTCACAAACACTAAATACAAGATGAAGTAATATGTAATCACCGGTAAGATGTTGTGATTGCAATGGTGGTCTAGTCTATCATAAATTGTTAAAAATAATTATACTTTAACTGGTTCTTCCTTAATGTTGGTTTTTACATTTGGGTTTTGTAAAGGTCTGTTCTATATTGTAACAACAGTTACTAAACTGCAGTTCTAACTTCCTTTACAAAACTCCGTATCTGCAATAAGGGGTTACATTGCATCAGTCGTCGATTGGAGACAAATAGTTCCCTGCTTTCTCAAGGCGTTCTCCATCGTCCTTCCGCATCAGTTTAGTGTATGTGTTGTCATCAACAGCAGACGGCTCTGATGTAGCAACATCGTTGACTGCATCGTCGCAGTCTGGTGCAAAACACTCTGCTATAGCAACATCGTTGACGGCATCGTCACAGTCTGGAGCAAAGCACTCTGCTGTAGCAACATCGTTGACTGCATCGACACAGTCTGGAGCAAACCACTCTGCTATAGCAACATCGTTGACTACATCGTCACAGTCTGGAGCAAAGCACTCTGCCAGAACAGGCAAGGCAGCAGCCGCTGTTACTGAATCATTTCGGTTCATGGCTGGCAGCTCACACATGATGGCAACATCTTCATCTCTGATTTCACAGTAGTCCGGCAACACCTGGTCGTCATGGCTTGGCGCTGCAGCTACATTAATACTCTGAATTCTGCGCTCTCTGTTAAAGGAAATATGTTAGTTTTGTACAGAAAGACATGCTCACAACTCTATGTGTAGTCCATCTATATTACAATGTTAATAATCCGGTCTGTACACTTATATTTGTTTATCTCATACTTTTTACTTTTGAAGGGAACGTGTCATGAGAAAAGCGTGGCAGTGTAGTTCAAACCATACATATTTCTCTTGTAATAAGAGAATTAAATGGCTATGTATGTTTATCGTACTTACTTATTTCTCAAATGCTTGTAGAAGAAGCGTGATAGAGCCAGCAAGACGATCACTACAAACATTGAAGTCACCGTTGATAGCCCAATCTTCAGGTCAACAATGTTGCTGTCATTGACTCCTGCAATGTGGGACAATATAATATAAAAAAATATATTGATGATTGTTTTAACCTTAAACAATAAGAGCAGTTTATATAGAACATGGTGAGCTCAGATTTATCCTGACAAGGCATTGTTTCAGCCTAAATGCAATGTAAGCAATTGTCGGGAAAACAGACACTTGAGCTTCTTATGTTTCTTACTGTACAAAATGGATACGGTACTGATTTATAACCAAAGTTTGGTAAACTGGTAAATCAATTATAGTTACCACGGTTGCAATATAGACAATCCGCTATGGAACAGTTGAAAGTGCAGGTCGAGTCACACCCTCGTCGAATCGGGTGACAGCCTTCAGTGCACGTGGCAGTCTTCTGATCACAGACACCATCAAGACAAACTTCACACGTGTGTTGGCAGAGGCCGCCATAGAAGCCACGTGCACACCCATCTGTACACGACCCGCTGTGTGACTGACATTTGCTGTGAAGGCAGTTGACAGAGCAAGGTTTACAGTCTCTGCCGAAATGTCCAGATACACATCCATCCACACAGACACCTGTAGAGTCACATCGTTGATTGACACAGTTCGGACTACACGGAGAAAAACACTGTCGGCCATACCATCCCTCGTCACATCCGTGGATACAGTCACCACTGTCTCTGTGACAGTCACGTACTCCTGTGTTTGGCGCCAGTAGAGGTTTGTCAGTAGAGATGTTGGGGTCTGGTCCACACTTGTCACTGCACGTCTTGTCACAGAACGTGTCATAAAATCCAGGAAGACAGCCCCCTGTGCATCCATGTTCACAGAATCCCAGGCAGTGATCACAGGAATACCCACAGTGTGGACCAAAGTATTCAGGGTGACACTGTCTGCACGATCCTGTCATCCTGTTGCAGGACTTACATCGACTGGAACACGACTTACAGTCAGTCCCGTAGTAGGAGTCTACACATCCAGACACACAGGATGACCCCAGCTGACAATATCCTCCATCACAGCCACCTGGACATGCTGTACAGTTACCTCCTGGACTGTCACATGGTGTGCTGCACCTAGGGCCTTGGTATCCTGGTACACAACCATCAGTACAATCACCTATGCCAGAAGCTGACAACAGGCATGAGTGGTTTCTGCAGGTCTTGCTGCATACTGACGTGCACATCTGATCAAAATACCCGATGTCACACTCTGTGAGGCAAATTCCACTTTGGTCACAGTATGAACAATGCTGGTTGTCCTTGCACCGGTCGCCTGAAATGGAAATGTGGCTTTAACCTACAAGTACAACACGCTACTTTCCTAACAGAGAACACTAATAATGATTGTAGTGAGAGTGATATGTGGCCGTGGTATTCCTGTAATGTGTAATACATTGAACCTTTGTTGGCATATGTTCTTGTGATATCCGGTTAACGACTGCATTAGTTTCAACTTGGTGATTAACACGTGACAAACCTCGCCCATTTATGAATGCAGCGATGTGTCTTCATCACACTGTGTTGCACGCAACATTATTTGTTAAGCTATACGCATGCACGGGTTTACATGATTTTTACCATTTATGCAGAATAACCAAATACGTTTCATATTAATTAGGGTTGTAGTTAATGATCGGGTGTGTGAGCGAATGACAAGTTTAAACTCTTACCTTTAGAAAATGTTATCAGATACACCCAACACCAAACCTTCAATAGTGTCATGATATCTCACGTAGTTTGAATACAACGTTTTAGTTGGTCGCTACTGTAAGGCTTTCTGAGTGTGCGGTGTAAATAAATCAGTTTAAACAACATGTGACTCACTCTCATGGACATTGGTTTCAAGCAAATATTTTCCTTCTGAACCGGAAATCACGTTGCAGGGTATCGCTGAACACACATAGTCAGCCAAACCGAGAAGTGAATTTTCAACCTGAGATACCAATCGGAACAACATCTGATAACATCTGGTCATTGTTTTGTATTGTCAACGTGATTTGTGCCATTTATCAAACAATCAAATACTTTTTATGGCAATTAGGGCTGCACTCAATGATCAGATTTAAAAGTGAATAACTCTTACCTTTTGAGAAGGTTACGAGATACACCCAACACAAAAACTTTAATAGTGTCATGCTGTGTTCTGATATCTCACGGAATGTGCGATGCTAATTTGTCCTTATATGCAACAAGCCACTCACTGTCTCGTAAATTGGTCTAATTACTTTCAAGAAAACGGGTTTTTTTCCTTCTAACCCGGAAGTCATGTTGTCGAGTAAATGCATGCCCCCATGAACGGTCAAACCGAGAAATGCTTTCGCAAACTGGTATACAATCGCACGACATCTGCTTATCGTTTCACATTGTGTGTAACAAAATATAATCTAACGTAACACCCTGAAACGGAATCTGTCCTTCCAATTATATTCTAATAATTCATAATAATCAAGTTTTGATTCCTGTCTATGATTTTGGAACTTTGAACGTTTGAAACACAGAACGCTAACTTACCAGCACAACCTTATAACAGGGTTGACGTATAACTAGAAAAATACACAAAGAACTTAAATAGCACCCCTGACATATCTCACGACTGAATGAGCCCCGATTTCAACACTTTGGGGCAAATCTGGGACATGATTGGTCGTCGTGTGCAACAATAGGATCCTCCTGTACAGAACCTGGCCCAATGGGAAGCTGCTTTACGCGAGCGAGGAATGGCGTAGACTGCCCCTGCAGGGGATCTGGAGGCGGACAGGGGGTATGAGGAGGAGAGAGCTGGCTCTCATACAGTCACATGGAGGTGATCCTTGGTATTGAAACTGAATCGAACAAGACAGGCAAAATGACATTTTGAAAGTTCACATTCAGCATTAAACTCAACTTTAAAAATTCCAGGGCCATAATTGTAGAGACATGGTTTGGTATGAACATCGGTGTCTTTTTAAAATGAGCAATTATAATCATAAAATCAACATGGATTCCAATCATTTTGTTGATTTATATAAGTCAGTGGATCATACGGGTCAGAAAAAGGAATGTTTTTCCATCGTGGTCACCACGATAAATTTTATGTACGTGTTGAAAACCTATCATTGCAAAAATGCATGGGGTACAATCGAGTGTGCTCTCTTTAACAAGAGTTCAAAGAGCGTCAAACCACTCTGTATGATAAAGGTAACATCATTCAAGGCCTTAGTAAGCTTTGAAGACGTTTTATGGTAGACATGAGAGGGAAATGTCCAAATTTGATGCACCAGTGACAAAATTTAATTTCGATGGAATTCCCCATATTTACGCATATACCATACGTTCCCGAAATATTACAGGTCAACAACTGACTATGCTCGTGTCCGGTGCCACCGGTGGGGCAGGATACGCTCACCTGTTCGCGAACACCTGGTATCATCACTATTTCATAGTGATTCACAAACACATTATAACACTGTAATACTGCACAAACAAATATATACTCATGATATAGTCACACTTGTACAATCGACTTTACTTTTAGCAGAATTTTTTTATGAAATGGGAAAGGGTTTTGTCGCTTTTAATTCTGTATGATATATCTGAATGTCACGTTGTCGCCTCCAGTTCTGTATGATATATCTGAATGTCACGTTGACTACCGCGCAGAATGAAAAACATACTTGTTTGTTGCGAAAATATCATGGTAAGGTCTTATACACCTTTTGTTTTTCCAGTTAAATCGAATTAAATGGCCCTTCACCCTGTTGTGAAGTGACATTTTCTGTTTTGTATTCGCTTTCCTCAGAAGGAGGAATATAATTTTAAACTGAGACTGAAATCCAACGTCCTTGACCGAGACCACTATTTACACTACCACCAGACGACTGTTTTGTGTGTGTGTCATTTTGATACTATTTGATACTTCCTCTTGTTTAAGAAAATTGGATGCTACTACGTACAAATCTGTTTAACCGTAGAATACATATTATTATATTTTATGGCTAAATTGTCTAAACTTGCTGACAGCTGAAGGGGTGGTGTAAATCAATCTAGGGTTAATGCAGGAAGCAAATGTACTGTATCTCCCCGTGGTCCCTAGTTTGGTGATCTACCTTCAGTTGTTGGTGATCTATAGCCTGTTTCTATTCTATATTCTGTAACTAACACATATTCGATTTACATACTAGTTTTATATTCATAACTGTGATATTCTAATTGTTTTACTCTCCTTCGTTGACAGGCCATATACCTTTATTTATTATCAAATCAAGCTTGTTCTAGTCACGATATGGCTGAAATATTGCCCATGTGACTTAAAATCTTAACTCACTCACTGGGTGAGTTTGGATTAAGTCCCATGCGAGATTCGAACCTACTCCCTCAGAGTCAGGCATCTAGTCGCCAGCACACAAAGTCACTTGACTCACTTTCTCAGTAATGGACAGATTCTTGTACTTTTGTAGGTGGAAGTCGCGGTCCCTGAGCGGGTGTGGGTTCGAATCCCGGTTGGGACTCAACCCAACAAAAGTACAAGAATCTGTACTGTACTAAGAAAGAGTAATCCAAAATATAACATATGTTACATTTGACCAATTTCTAATTGGCACTGAGTAATCACATACTATATCATGTTGGTTGACTTGACATATTTCAGTGACTATAGGCGTTCCCGGCAGTGACAGTAACATCGACGTTGGTTCGACTTTGAAGAATGTGGAGTCTTTACATTCCTTTATAAGTTGTGTCGATCAGTGAGTACCTGATGTCAGCAACTAAGAGGGAGTGACAAAGTCTCACAAATATTGGTTGAGCGATAAATTGAATGATGATTGTTGTAAACTTAGAATCACTTATAATTATGGTAAAGTTGGTATCAAACTTAGTTTGCTGATAGGGAAGAAAAACAGTAACAGAACATAAGCGAATCTCTGTAACCAATTAATGATTTATCCAACATGATTTTTATCCTTGCGATTTGTTTCTACCAATATATACATGCATGAAGATAACTGATGATGGAAATGATAATTTGGGCAACCCGCTGATGAGATATGCCTACACTTTGGCAATTCCACAGATTCACAAAGATAAGATGACAATACTCCTGTATGGTTTATTGTAACATCATGTGATGCTTTACTTCAGTCTTGGTCGTCCCAGGCGACAGACAATGTGAGTGGGGGAAATACGGCGAGAACTGCAACTTGACCTGTCCTGTGAACTGTGCACTAGTTCCACCAAGTAATCTTCAGCACTGTCACAGAGACACGGGGAAGTGTTCCGGGGGATGCCGGCGTGGTTGGCATGGTGATCTGTGTTACCAATCCTGCAGCCCCACCTGTCTCAACAAGACCTGTAACCTGCAAACTGGGCACTGCACACTTGGCTGCAATGGAACCAACATGGGCGTGTTTTGTAATAGCACACGAAGTAAGTCGACAATAACGAGTTTAGGCTGCGTGTCACTGGACAATAAATCTAAACACATCTATCCTTTTAAAACTGGAGCTCCAGAACAATCTCATCAACACTCCCCATATTAACGTAAAAAACACCAGCGTAAATAAACATTTAATTGTCTGTAAGAAAAAAATGGGATCAAAGCATGAGTGAAACACACTATGATATGTATGACTACATTTATTGGAATCCAGTATCTAGATGTGAATTATTTAATTCCACTCACAAACTCCACAGAATTTCTTATATATTCTACCATGTGTATGGTCAATATATAAATAGCAGTGAAAATTCCATTTTCATAATGATAAGTATAAGAGATAGAGTCATCTCAACAATCATTATAATTGTTACGTTCCATTCTCAAGTTGAACTACAGAAACTCTGTACAGTAGAATATACGATCTTGACTGATCTCGGAAACCGATTCCTTTTGATGTAATGGGTAAAATAACTCTGAAAATCACATTAGGATGACACCAGATATTCGCATACTAAAACAGACATAATGCGTGCTGGTAATTAGGTACGTCGCTCTGAGACTGTGGGTTCGAATCCCACCCGGGAAATCAAACACAGAAAGAACTGGAACGTGCACTTTACCAAAAATATGCAATCACAAATATATCTTATGACACATTTGAACACTTTCTAAAAAACATTGTATTCACATATACCAGTAGGTTATTAACTTTGTCTTTTTATGAAGGATAAGTTTAGACTCTGGGAAGTCAGGTTCCAGTGATAACAATGGCGTCAACTGTGTTCGGTTACATGCCCCACTATAACGTGATCAGCTAAAAGCATCCATCACGGTATAGGTATTGGATCATTCGTGGCATTTAGTTCTCTTTATGTTAGACTTGATGGGAAACATCCATTTAAATGCGCAAATTACTTATTTGGGAAAATACATCTACTTTCTGTAGAAACTCTTGCTACAGTGTCCATATTCTACAAGGACCATTTACCTCAGTTTAATGTTTGACATTGTAGTGAATGGTCTTCAGCGAAAGAGAATGTAATAATATTCATAAATGCTGTGCTTATATATACTCAGTAGCAAAAACAAACGTCAGTACGAATTCAAAACTAGATAGGCTCTGTAATTAAATCACTACATAAATTGGGATAATAAGCGGCTCAAAAACATTTTTTGTGTTCAGACCCTTGACTTCAGTATCTAGTGTAACCACCACCAGCGGCAATAACTGCAGCACAGCGTCTATGCATGGAGTGCACCAGTCGATTGATGAAGGCCATTAGCTCCTTGAACCACACTCTGAGAAAGGCCTGGCGCAATAAATCAGCTGTGTTCGGCCTTAGTATGACATTATTCAGTCTCCTCTGAATTTCATCCCAAAGATGTTCAGTTGGGTTTAAATCAGGACTAGGGGCTGGCCAATGCATAATGTTGACACCGTTCTGCTGTAGGAAGTTCAGTGTAGCTCTGGCAGTATGGACCCGGGCGTTATTATGTGGGAAAATGTTGTTCCGGTGATGTGCGAAATGTGGTACGACGTGGGGTCTGAGAGCTTGGTCGATGTAGCGCACCACTGTGATGCCGCCTTCTCTCCCTGGACCAAGGTTCTGGAACACCACAGGACCCACGATCTGGTTCAGGCCTATTCCACTCCACACCATGATGCTTGCACCTCCCATGAGTCTCTTTCCAGAACACACGCTGGCCACGTCGTCGCCATATCCTTGTTCTGCCATCTGCTGCTGATACGCAGTACCGACACTCATCTGTGAACACAACAGTTCTTCATTGACTGTATTGCCAGTTGTTGGTGTTGTAGGGCAAACTGTAGACGTTCACGTCGATGACGAGAGGTGAGGATAGGTCCACGGTAAAGCCTACGGCAATGGAGGTTCCCGCTGTTAAGACGTCGGCGTACTGTATCAGTACTGATTGGTCTTCCGTGTGTTCCCACTGTCTGGCGTCCTGTTCCGGATGACTGCATGAAGGGATTTGGTACATTCTGTCGCACGACATGTCAGTCTTGTCGTCTTGTGGTCACCCTTGGTCTGCCAGTACGGGAGCGATCATTTGTGGTGTTGGTGTCCCGGAAACTTTGCTGCAGTATGTAGATTGTCCGAACGTTGACCTGAAAGTGATTGGGAACGGCTTGTGGAGTGTGGCCAGCTTCAAGTTTTCCGAGCGCTTGGTTTCTCGGAGCTGTCGTGAGTCGCGGCATCCTGCTGACATAATATGAATGTTTCAACCAGGTTTTGAGATGCATTGTATAGGGCTGGTCCTTGTGAGGTAAACTTGTGAACAACACCTGCAGCATGAGTTGCATGAGAAACATGGATATCTCCGAGATCAGGTTGCGTTTTTGCTGCTTAGTATTACTCTGAACGGGCCAGTGCTGAAGTGAGACAACACTTACCTCTCTGATGAGAGCGGGAAGCGTTTCACCTAACACCCGGTATCAATATTACTTTCGTGATTCAAATACGCGTGCTCACTTGCTCACTTGCTCATTGGAATGTGAAAAGGTTTCTGTTGCTTTAATATGATACTGTACGAAACAGTGTACCCATGAACAGCTAACACAAGATTATTATAAACCGTCAGGAACTACCTAGTGTTCACTATGGGAGAGCCGTTTGTGTGCCCCTGTTTCGAAAGGTGAAAATCGATACGGCTGAAGGTTACGTGGGAGATTTTCATGGTACCATGAATGTTTCCACACCTTAAATGAATGGTATTATATGTGACATCAGAAAGAAGTTACTTTCTCGTATATCTGATATTTTATCCGTTCTTTGATTGTTGTCCAGAGTGTGGTCGTGGCTTGTATGGAGATACGTGTGAACATCCCTGCAGCAGCAACTGTGTGGAGGAAAGATGCAACCAAACAACTGGAGTCTGTATACTTGGCTGTAATGGGACTTATACTGGAGAGTTCTGTAACACTGCGAATGGTACGAAGTTATATATGGCTATCGTGTGTATGTAAAATGATTTGAATGTTAATTTGTAAAGGTTAATCAGTTCATCAGTTCACCGTTGGACCTCTTACACAAGTCAATGTCCAGAATGTGTCGGAGCAGAATGTCTTTATTTTGGAAGCAAGCCAAATGTCTGTGGTTTCGGATAACCATTCCGCCGACACTGGACAAGGGGGTATGCTCCAAGTGAAATTGCAGTAGGAGGCTACTAAATGATTTTCTCTCGCTCTTCTATAAGTACCTTTCTCGAAACTGTTTACCGGGATGACGACAAAAAAGTCAACGCTGGGACAGTGGACCACAAACAAAGACACTAAAGGGAGGTAACCCCAAACTACTCTCTTTTGCACATGCTGTCCATAAAGTTTCAAATAACAACCGATACACAATAAACAGTATAAAGTAAAGACTGACGAGATCAACTGTGTGTTTAGAAGATTGGCCAAGGTTTGTTGGTTTTAACTGGACAATCCTTATCTCGGTCACAAAAAAAGCCGAGATTATTGCCTTTGATATAGTCATGCTCAAACACCATTTATAAAGTCATACTTCTATAGTGCTTATAGCTTCATTTCATTCTACCCGTTTCCAGATTACACTTGAAAACATAGGTCCTGCCACAACACCTCATACATCAGATACTTCCCTGGCATTAACAGTGTAGAACATTGTCAACAGCTTTCAGATTAATTTGCAGTCTTCATCCTTGAAAACATATTAAACTGAGAGCCAAAAGAAATATAGGTCGAGTTTGACGATCCATAAGAAAACGACACAACACAAATGTTGATTACAAGTATAATATGAAATGAAGACTGGCTACAGATGATCATTCAAGCACATTCTGGGTGGGTCAGAACGTAATGGGTTTCAGTGATATTTGAACACTAATACGCGATTGTCAGGCTCTATACAAGTTCATTTAAGACACAATTATGCCCCCCACGTACCTCGATTCATGCTGTGATGCGTCGTCTCATCGATGACCACAGACGTCTCATGACGTATGCTGGAATCCTTTACCACTCCACACTCAGGACACGCTCCAGCTGTTGTCTTTTGTCAGTGAGCTGTTGGCGACTTCTGTCTCTTAAGAAGGTCCCACAGATGCTCTATCGAGTTCATATCTGCTGAGTGGACAGAGGAAGCCTTGTGTTAGTCTTGCTGTATGGGGCGTTGTATTGTCATGTTGACACACTGCTCCCTGTGACTGGTTTTGTATGAATGGGAGCACAACTTGTTGTATCACCTGGCCTTTGTACGGCACTGCGTTAAAGTTCCTCTGCACAACAGTTACTACCAGATCAGTCTTCTGTTCCCCACAAATACTGCCCCACACCGTGATGCCTCCTCCGGCGAAAGGATGAGCTTGTTGAATGCACACAGGGAGCTAGTCGTTCACTTCTGCGGCGATAAACCCGTTCTCTGCCATCATTCTGAAACAACTCAAACAGCACTCGGTCGGCGACACTGCCTCACCTGCCAGACTCGAACTCGTCTAGCCTATCGCAATCTCTGGCGTCGATGCTGCAGTGTCAAAAACATTCCACGGAAGTGACGCTAGGCTCTTATTACGTAGTACTGTACGTGGGCTACGTGGGTTAATGCGATGTCCCAATGATGTTGCAGCTGTTGCCATCGCCGTCGCCGTCACCGTTACGAATCTGTTTCGTAGGTGGATGAATCTCATTTACTGGTCTGGCGGTCTTCCCGTTCTGCGCCTGTCAGTCTTTCCTGTCTACCGGTATCGTTGTAGAAGCCTGGATACCGCCAGTGGTGTGCACACCCAAACCTTCGGGAAATTTCGACTTGTGTAGCCCCAGTTTCGGCCATACCCATGCTCTCTCTCTTTCATCACGTGGTCTTTGGTGTGTTATATATAAACTGTGATGCCATGCTATGTAATGATCATATTTATGCCTCACTTCGGTACCTCCATCTCGTTCTGCGGACCCCAGTCCTGTTTTACCAATTTCTCGTGCAACGTGGCACCGTCAGTCGTGTTCCGTTTCGGACGTGTTATTTGTTCCCCCCTGTAGCCGGGAAGTGACTGCCAGAATACTCTCTCGTCACCGTGGATCACATTTTTAAAGAACAATGACTTATGGCAACCTATACTTTCTTTTGCCTCTTAGTTTATTATTCCTTGATATGAGCTTCATTAACAGTTCTTCTCACTCAAATGACAGGAAATACTTACAGATCAGTCTGCATAGGTGCCTCAGTCTGTGTGCATTCTGACATTCTGAGATTCTCGACAGGCCGACACTCATGTTTTGTGTAACAGCAACGGACACATTCCATCAAAAAGTTGGTAGTGAATGACATTCTGATTTTGATGGGAACCTCTTGAACTTTCTGTCGTAACTGACCTCGCGGGGTTCTGCATTAAATATTTATCAGATGTTTGTTTGTATGAGCACTGTTGGATTTGTCCAGAAACGTCTACAACTCCCGCTGCTGTGAACAACAAGGAAGGAGGGGTGTTCGTGATTACCATACCGGCTCCTGTGTTCCTGGTAGCAGCTGTAGCAGTCTCACTTGCACTTGTAGCCGCATCTGTTCCCCATATCATGCTCTTCTTAAGGTAAATATATATGTTTGATTAGATGGCAATTAGATGTTCAATATATGAATATATGTGCCCACCGGTTTTTAAAATATTCTCCCTGAAGAATCGGATGTGCATAAATTATGTGTATTCAAATGGCAATCCGTAATTCACCACTATCACCTACATTTGAGCAACATATTGCAGATTGAAAACTTGACTGCAAATTTATTTTAAAAAATTAATATATTTCCGGGAATATTTCGAAAAACTGACACTTTGTTTTATTTAATGACCACAAGCCTATGTAGATGGGGTTGGGTATCATCTGCAGTTGTTTCTGCAGTGTAGGTCACCGTCGAAGCATACACTGTGAAGTGACAACAAAACACATACGAGTGATTTTCATGATGCCAGCCACCTTGTTAGGAATTTCATGTCTGTAACAAATTATATATATCTGGGCCTAGATTTTCGAAGCTCTCTTAGCGCTAAGATAGTCGTAAGTACCATACATCAACATTAACTTACGGCTATCTTAGCGCTAAGAAATCTTCGACAATCTAGGCCCTGTACTTCAGTCATCACAGTTATATTTGTATTGAACACATAAAGGTTGCACCTGTATCTGCATTAGTGTGACAATAACTGCTCCGTAGTGTGCATCGTGGAGCGTTTTGGATAATGACTTCTCCCGCTTTGAGCTCACGAGTTGTTCAGCCAATGGGCCCGCCTGGGCAACTCGGTGTTTTCATGATACATTATCAACAAAGATAAGGTAGACAATGACTCCTCAAGTATATAACATGGATATTTTACATGAATAGATGATGTTTCATAGTGACACATATCATAAGTTAGTTGCATTGAGGTAACGACATAGAATTACAATATTGTGTCATCTCAGTTGTGTGAGTTTCAGTGTTCACAGTTTTCTAGCACTGTGTTAGTTAGTTTATTGTGAAGTTGAGCAGAAAAAATATAGTACTGTTTTAATCTACTGAGAGTAGTATTTGAAGGGCTTTTATCCTGACTATTGAACATTGATAGATTACATTTACTGGTAATGGGTGTATGGTGTGACAGATATATTGAGTATGACTTCAGTTGTCGGTTGCATTTAGTGTATGTTTACATGTCAGGGTTTGTTTTACAGAAAACTGGTTTAAGCAGTGTCATTTATGGCAAGCAGTTTATGAATAACTTCAGAACTGTCTGTGTATAGATTCAGCTGTGACCCGAGATAACTGCTGACAGAGCAGAGTTCTGTTGAGAAATACACTTATTCCACCTGATCCTAACCTTTTTGCTGGACATGCACATTTAATTAAGTAAACTAAACTTATACTACGTTTCTTTATCATGGAATTTACAGTTTACAAAAAATAGCAATCCCAGGACGTTTCCAAACTGGGGCACCGGTGCCAAACATGAATCTCCATGCGATTCCCTACTTTGACTTGCACCTTACGTCCCTGTTGTGTTCTTTGTTATGGGTGTTAAGTCAGACAACCATTTGTTAAACAAATAGATTCACATTGACTCATGTTATATGTCTGCTTGTATTACTTTCACGATATCGCGTAAATATAAGTCATTAATGAAGAGTGAATCCACAGTAGGATTTCGACTCCATCGTACAAATGGTGACGGCCACATCACAAGTGGAGGGTTGATCTGTTGCCTACATTGAGCCTGGAATGACTCCTGTACACATGGTTTTGTGGATCTGTGACAGTCTAGGTTGTCGGTATGATTGTGTCCTGTCCCGTCTTGTCTTATCCACGTCTAATACACATATCTTCTCTTTGCAGATGGCGGAGACACGTGAAGAGGTAATATGCAACTCATTATCCTTAATGGCAGCATGTAGTATAGGTTTTGATGTAGTCAGACATTTTATAGTTCTGGGGCATCTTCCGCAATTATGTTCAACAACTTTCCCTGAAGCAGTTGTGAGGAGGGATCATTTAATTAATTTACAAGATTTAATGTCAAACAAGGGAAATAAATCTGTAGTGGAACGATGTAAAATGTCTTTTTTCTCTGTTCAGCTCATCTGAATAAACGGCTCTGTTTATGCGGCGTGTGTATGTAATGACGTGGTCATGAGTGTGCTCGTGTATGATGGATTATGCGATGCATATGCATGTACCGACGTTGACGTTCACGTAAACTAATGTCATTCTTACTGTTGAGGCAACATGCTATACTCTTGCGGTTCCAACGATAATGGTAGGTATCAATACATTACATGAAATATAGCCAACTATCAGTTACCCCATACTTGGGCTGCCAGTCCAGATTTGAAGAGGTCATTATGCGACGATGTCGTATTGGCCACACACGATATACCCATGAATATATGTGTAAACGTTTTGTATCCCTTGTGATGAAAGAATCACGGTCACGCATGTCCTGCTTGACTGTACTGTTTTTTCCATAGGGATAAGTATTTAAATGTAAAAACTGTTACAAATTTTAAAATAATTAGAATTATTAGATATATTTTGATGAATGGTTTGTAAATAGATACATATTTTATTATTGGTAGTTTAGATTAATAACTTAGATTGTTAGTGGTTGTACCCTCAACGGGGGTTGAAGTATTGTAAAATTATTGTCCTCCTGAGAGGGTACGTACGTTCCATTACATTCATAGTAAATTTAAACCTACTACTATTCTTAATCGTAGCATTGTCTCATTGGCCATACCACGTACACACATGAATGCCTGTGAAAATAGAGGAGGATGCTCCATTTTGTATCTTTTGTGATGAAGGAATCACGGTCAAGCATGTTAAGGGTCTTTTTAAGAATGTTTATTATAATTATATTATCGGGTTTTAAAAAGAAATTGAACTGACTGATAAATTGTGTGTCATGTGTTTCGTAGATAGCTGTATTTCTTATAATTGTAAGTTTAATCAGTAGCTGAGGGTGTTAGTGGCTGTATCCTCCAAGGGGGTGAAAGTCCTGTAACATTATTGTCCTCCTGAGAGGATAAGTAAGTCCCAAAAATTCAAAGTCTATTTAACCTATCAGCTGGGGTCCATGTAGGAAGCAAGAGTACTCTAAGTCCCCATGGTCCCTAGCATGGTGATCTACCTTCAGTTGTTGGCAATATATAGCCTGTTTATTATATTGTATTGTAGGTTTAGTGTTAATTACTAGTTTTAAATTGAAATCTGTGATAAACTAGTTGTTTTACTGTCCTTCGCTGACATGTTTTTATAATTTACCTTTATTTATAGTAAAATTATAACTTGTTTGTAGTCACGATATGGCTGAAATTTTGCCGATGTGACTTGAAACCTTAACTCACTCACTCTCTCCAAAGATAATGGAATATTGTGAACATGTTTATGAAACGAATTTGTGAAGTTATCACGATAAATGGACTGTGGCAGATCAGCTTGTTTTTTTTTTTCAAATTAATTCAAAATGAAATGATCGGCCCAGGAAAAATGAGACTTTGTGTATTTTATTTACACAACACGGAGACAGACGTACAGGGAAACATTGATTCACTTTGCATCTACACTGAAAACAGTGTTATGGGCTTTGACGGGCACTAAAATATGCAGTGTGTTATATTAACATTTGTTTTGTTTATGGACAAGGCTGATATTATGTATCAGTTGTAAACCTTGAAACAACATTTAGCAATTAATAGGAAACGGAATTTATACAATCATTTGTTACCTTGGCTTACTTTCAGTTCACAAAGACCAGGTAAGTAACATATTTCTACTCTACGTTCTACAATGTTTTCAGTGACTATCAGTATGCCATGTTATAAGCAACAGAACCCATCACAAAATACTACGAAATATCTCAAGTCCAAAGATCGAGTCGAACTACAAAGAAATAAGAATGTTCATTGCTTCTCATTAAGTATTCATTCATCGAGTTCTCAAGAAACAGGCAACATTTTGTCCTCTGGACAAATCTATGATGTAAGGGACTAACATTCAAGTCTGAAATATTTCTGTTTCTCAAGAACTGTTAATAACTGATTTCGGAAAAACAACAACAACATTGGTCTGACACTGTCAGGAACTCCCTACAACAACAGGCAACGAGTACCTGTTTACATGTCGATGTCTGGTGGGCTGCCACTTGCTGGGGTGCAGGTGAAGCTGTTGGGTCTGGGGTCAACACAGACATTGCTGACTACGTTTAGGTTGAAAGATATGTCTGAACATAGGGCTGTGTAAAGCGGCATGCTACACGTGTAAAATACTACGGCATATAGTTGTCCCTCCCTTGTCCATCGACGATCAGGGTTAGAGTTGTGTAAAGCGGCAAGCTACACGTGTAAAATACTACGACATATAGATGTCCCTCCCTTGTCCCTCGACGATCAGGGTTAGAGTTGATCTCCAGCAACCCACGTTTGTCGTATGAGGCGACTAACGGGATCGGGTGGTCAGACTCGTTGACTTGGTTGTTACGTGCCATCGTATCCAAAGTGCGCATTTTCGATGCACGTGATGTTGATCACTGGATTGTCTAGTCCATACTCGATTGTTAACAGACTGTAATATTGCTGAGTGCGGCGTTATACAACAAACCAACCAACCAAATCTTTAGTCTCTGTCCATAATTCTGATATGTTTTGTCCACAGCAACAGCTGACGGGGAAGGTTTGCTTGGAGGTAAGTGCCGGCTGTTCAATCGATTCATGCAAATGAGTAAACAACTTTAGTTCATTGTTAACATGGACATTCAGTTTGAATACCAACGTCTACGGGCGAAATTAGATGTGGAGACCTGTTTATTCACATCCCAATATCTCAGAATATATGAAGACACAATTTCAGTTTTACTATAATTTATCTGCAGATTTACTGAAGGAAGTGTTGCAGAAAACAGAAAATTACCCATTGACGAACAACAACCACGGGGGGTTGAAGAACACCACCGTCATATGAAGAGTACAGTAAGAGGAATCTCTTTACATTTACTCTATTTTCTATCTTCCCATAAACAAAATATTGAAATTATACGTTTTTGGCCTGGCTACATTCAGCCAACGTTTCAAGAATTCCCAGTGTCGTTAGTAGATGGTCTCTTCGGTTCAGAAAATCCTTGTATAATACTGTTCATTCTATGATACAGTCTTGGCAATTGCCTATAATACATATTTGTGATATTTCCTATAGCGTTTACTATAAGGAAAAGGGTAGCGAAGATCGGTTTCATCAACTTTGGAATGATGTTGGTCAGTGTAATGGTAATAAGCTGCGGACATACCGCTTGTTTAGGTCAGTGTAATGGTGATAAGCTGCGGACATACCGCTTGTTTAGGTCAGTGTAATGGTGAAAAGCTGCCGACAATCCGCTTGTTTAGGTCAGTGTAATGGTGATAAGTTGCTGACATACCGCTTGTTTAGGTCAGTGTAATGGTGATAAGCTGCGGACATACCGCTTGTTTAAACATACGTTATATACTGAAGCCTGTGTTGGTCAGTGTAATGGTGATAAGCTGCGGACATACTGCTTGTTTAAACATACGTTATATACTGAGGCCTATTTTGTCACTGTCAGTAATTTCTACACTGATTTGAGGTATGAGTTTTGGAAATATGTATCATCTGCTCATCCTTCCATTTTACATCTCAGTCCTGCTGACCAGGCTGTATATTTATTGTCTAACAGTACGCTGGGGTGATATGTTTTATCATGCCATTTATGCTGTGTATTTGTATGAGCACGTGACACCAAAATATATATTTCTTCTTCTTCTTCTATAAAATGTATATGTTTGTATATCTTGGGTCACTCCTTACGACCGATTAGCCTTGTGTAAATAACTCACCCTCATCAGTTCACCAGCACAGCACACAAACCACTGTAGATCCAACATGGTTTAACCAGAGGTCCTTACAGGCTAGTTTTGTGTTGTGTATGGTCTTGTGTACTTGTTGTACTTGTATAAAGTATTTACGCCTTATTGGCCTTGGGTGAAATATTAATCCTCACTACTTCACCAACCTGTACGCTTTGTAGAACAACATCGACCATTTGCTTCTTCCATGTCTCATATCAATCATAATAAGAAGGCAACAACAATGATAACATAGTCATGGCAAAGTTTTAGGTTGAACATCTACAAGTTGTATTTATGTATTATACTGTTTGCTGCAGAACGCTCGTCAAACCTCTCTTCATGTGTACTAAAGAGATAAACAGAATAAATAAAAACTGTATCTATCAAATAATGGTATTTCATGTTTTTGTTAAAGTTGGCGCCGGCTGGCTGATCAGGACCAAGGGTGTCTGCCATCACCTTCTCAGCAGTATCGTCAGCCGACCGGAAAGGATTATTTCGGGCTTGCGCCTTCACTCGGCGACAATTGATTATTGAATCAACTCGAGAAGATTTTATCATTACTCAATGATTGGCGGTTAACGTATTAGATAAGTTGATTTATTAATTATTTTGTCAACCTATTTTCTCACTCTCACGTCAGTCAATACACAGGGAGTAGCGGGGTGATTGGATATCTTTACCTGACTCAAGGTGACTCGTGATACAAATCTAAATTAATTAAATTTAAAACATTTAGGATATAGATTGCCTACAACTGAAGGTAGATCACCATACTAGGACTATGCCAGAACTACAAGAACACTAGTTGGAATTAGTTAAAACATACTTCTTTGTTCCCATTTAATGTAATTAAATATTCTACTAATCCGTTCGTCAATATATACACTGCCTTATTATCTTTTACACTTTCTATCATCAACTAATCTTACCTGTAAAATCTACAATCAATCGAATGGTTTGTTCATCGTAACTGTCGAATCAACTAATCAATCTTCAAAAGTTAAACCGCTATGGATATCGAAACAAAATTAATCAATCAATTTTTAAAAGTTTACCCTCAATGAAGTAAATCTCTTTTATTTAAAACATATATAATCATATAATCTCCTTTGATCTTGGTGCAACTATGTTGGCCGTTTTCCCTTGGCACAGAGGCCGTTTTCTCACGGTTCGGTGGACGTTTTCTCTAGCGCTATGGCCGTTTTCTCTAGCGCTTTGGTTGGTAGAAGGTTGGAGTCTTTTGATGTAGATAGCGTCTCGTAGTTTCCTGATTTTACCGTCTTTGAGATTTGTCGTTAGGGTTGTGACCCACTGGATGCTGTGGTCGGTATTGTCTTGGATGTGGTCTGATATATTCTGATAGGGCTGATTTGGAGTCAAGTTTAAATCCTGAGGTCTGATGCTCATGGATTCGGCTTTTTAAGGATCTTACTGTTTCGTCGTTCTTGAACCTAACCGTAGCTCTCACTGTAATAAAGTTGGTCGTCCATATACTGTCATCCTTCCTTACTGCTCAAACTTCTAAATGCCTCCCAAGAAATATAATGGATGATGTTCGTGTGTTATACGGTTTTCCTTCACTATTATGTATTTTGTACGAGCATCATTGTGTATGTTTGCTGTTATGTTCTTGCAATCGGTGTGTAATAATCCATGCATGCATGATGCAATACTACGTATCTGAAGTCACGTTCTTTAAATGTATCTTCACAGATTTGATTCCTTTACTTAACCAAGATTGTGTCTCTTTGGCGAACTATATCACATGTTATATATTGTATTGTCTTCTTTAATCAAAATGTTTTAGTTTAACATACTAGTTTTTATATTCCTACATGTGATCCTCTAGTATTTTACTGTCCAACGTCGACAGGTTTTATTCTTCAAAATGTTTTCATTTGTTATTGCATCAATTGTTTCAGTCAAGATATGGCTGAAATATTGCCGAATGACGTTAAATATTAACTCACTCACTCACCAAAAAAGACAAAGACAAAGGGGTTGGGTATTAGTGCACCAATTAGTGTCACCGTATCCCTAAATGCGGTTTAACAAAATGTTACAGTTTGTGTTGGAAGCGCGACATTGTGTCAGTGTTCATGTACATGCTTGAGAGTGAAAAAAGGTGTACGTCTGATACATGTGTAGATGTAAGCTACAACATATACACTACACAGTGTCATTTAGTGGTCAGAATAGAGGATACTAAACGACCTTCCGTGTACGTCTGATACATGTGTAGATGTAAGCTACAACATATACACTACACAATGTCATTTAGTGGTCAAAATAGAGGATACTTAACGACTTTCCGTGTACGTCTGATACATGTGTAGATATAAGCTACCACATATAGACTACACAATATCATTTAGTGGTCAAAATAGAGGATACTTAACGACTTTCCGTGTACGTCTGATACATGTGTAGATGTAAGCTACAACATATAGACTACACAATGTCATTTAGTGGTCAAAATAGAGGATACTTAACGACTTTCCGTGTACGTCTGATACATGTGTAGATAAAAGCTACAACATATACACTACACAATGTCATTTAGTGGTCAAAATAGAGGATACTTAACGACTTTCCGTGTACGTCTGATACATGTGTAGATATAAGCTACCACATATAGACTACACAATGTCATTTAGTGGTCCAATGTACCATATGTTATGTATGGGATTACACTTTCTCAGTAAAGTGAAGATTCTAGTACTTCTGTTGGTGTGGGTTCAACACAGCCAAGTAAAGTACTAGAATCTGTACTTTAACGAGAAAGTGTAATCACAAATATATCATGTGTTACAATATACAGATTGAACTAAAATCAACAGTTTGGAGAGTATAACACTATGCTAGCTGCTGAACCTGTTTGTCGTTACTGTATAGTGTGTACAGATAGGAATATGATTTTATTCAACTCAACCTGTGTAACTGAACGAAATTAATGGTGTTAGTTAATGTATACATATTGTTAAATATATATTTGAAAATACATATGAGTTATTAGTCTGACAATATTTTTTTTATGGTTGTTTATTTTGTTGCATTTTTCAACATTTTATACAAACAAATAACAGTGATATTCCAGTATTCATGATGAACAATCAAATAGTTTTAGCAGAATAAATCATGGCATGACGACCAAAACATGTAGAAAGCATTGATATTACAACTAATTATTGACGAACACTTTGTTAACATATAATATTCAAACAGTTTATGTTGAAAAACTTGAAAAGACGGCATAATGTTGTTAAACGTATTTCGAAAAATTAGTTCCTTGAAGAGACTTAAGATGATATTTATTGGATCATTGTTTTTATTTGGGTAACCAAGCATTACATGTTTCTTTTCAATTTTGAGTTTTATTTGTGCTTATCATGTAGCCAGTTCTCAAGGTTTTTCCATATATGGTTTACCTTGCTGCAAGACCAGAATAAGTGGATAGTTGTTTCTATATCTTCGGAGCAAAAACTGCAATTACTAGTGTCTTTATATCCTATCTTTTCTAAAACAAATGTTTGTTTTTTGGAAGATATGGTGTAGAGTCTGTATTGGAACCATTGTAATCTAGTATCTTTCGTACATCTAAAGGGAATAGTATTGTAAAGTGACAAATCCTTAGATATAATGTCGTCGTATAAAATGTTTAGTTCCCATTTCAATGCATGTTGGTTTTTTAAACCTAGACCTGAAATGAGAGTTTTGTACAAGTATTGCGTCCCTTTTACACTCTTACAGAGATATTGCATATATCGGGGTAGAACAGGGTTTGGTTTGCGTGTTATTGTTTTTAAATCAGAAAAATTGTTTTTATGTCAAATTGTTTTAGAAACGTTCAAATTGAAAGAAATTACCGTTATTATTAATCGTCTGACAATATTAGTGAATATAACATGGCGTCTAACGTCGTATCCCGCCTTATCATGATAGTCTCAATCCTTTTACGTGCGCTTCTTCTCTCCCTCTTCTCCACGTAGTCTTGCCAGTAATATCGTTCTTCGTCTGTACATGTGTTGACATTAATGTTATATGTATGTTATATCCATATACCCTTCTCTATCTGCTTTCTGTATGTTGCTCCGTTATTATTGGAATAGCTGACGCGAGTGTTGAATCCAAACAGTAAGAGTAATCTGTCATGAATACTCTACCCTACCACAAGACATCGCTATGCACCACATTGGTGATTGTTTCAAGCACCATCGTCAGTGAAGGAATGTTCACGTCACATGTGCATTATTCATATATATTATGTATATATCAAATGTGATACAAATGTTATATCTTATTGTTGGGAGATGTCATGTGCTTTAGAGTGTTCTTACTCAACCACGGAACGCGATGTTCGCTCCTCGTATGAAAATCAACACATTTTTGTCATCTATTGACATGTACAATAAAGCCTTTTTACGCTAACATCACCGTCTCAGTCCTCATTACCGTCGAAAGGTATATGTTGTAGGACGTTTGTTCAGAATACTGTTTACAAAAGGTCCTTCACTCTAAAGCACGACCTGTGTTGTTCTTGAGAACCCCGTCATATCTCTGACAAGAGACGAGGTAATGGCAGCAGCTCAGGATGATATTGTGGAACCTGTGTTGTTCTTGAGAACCCCGTCATATCTCCGACAAGAGACGAGGTAATGGCAGCAGCTAAGGGTGATCTTGTGCAGCCTGTGTTGTTCTTGAGAACCCCGTTATATCTCTGACAAGAGACGAGGTAATGGAAGCAGCTCAGGATGATATTGTGGAACCTGTGTTGTTCTTGAGAACCCCATCATATCTCCGACAAGAGACGAGGTAATGGCAGCAGCTCAGGATGATATTGTGCAGTTTGTGTTGTTCTTGAGAACCCCGTCATATCTCCGACAAGAGACGAGGTAACGGCAGCAGCTCAGGGTGATCTTTTGCAGCCTGTGTTGTTCTTGAGAACCCCGTCATATCTCTGACAAGAGACGAGGTAATGGCAGCAGCTCAGCTTAGTTTAGATTAGTTCAAACGAGTTCTGTTGGTATTTTGACTGGATTGTGAACCTTATGTGAACAATGCTATAAAATCAGCCTGAAGACGTGTTTTCCATTTGTGTTGACTATTCATGGTTCTGTTTTAGATATATGAAACCCGTGAAGATCCTGGTGTCAGGTGGTACTAGTCCCATACAGGGTGGGTCAGACTCTGCATGGTCATACCACTGTGATCCTGCTCTGTCAGGTGGTACTAGTCCCATACTCTGCATGGTCATACCACTGTGATCCTGCTCTGTCAGGTGGTACTAGTCCCATACTCTGCATGGTCATACCACTGTGATCCTGCTCTGTCAGGTGGTACTAGTCCCATACTCTGCATGGTCATACCACTGTGATCCTGCTCTGTCAGGTGGTACTAGTCCCATACTCTACATGGTCATACCACTGTGATCCTGCTCTGTCAGGTGGTACTAGTCCCATACTCTGCATGGTCATACCACTGTGATCCTGCTCTGTCAGGTGGTACTAGTCCCATACTCTGCATGGTCATACCACTGTGATCCTGCTCTGTCAGGTGGTACTAGTCCCATACTCTGCATGGTCATACCACTGTGATCCTGCTCTGTCAGGTGGTACTAGTCCCATACTCTGCATGGTCATACCACTGTGATCCTGCTCTGTCAGGTGGTACTAGTCCCATACTCTGCATGGTCATACCACTGTGATCCTGCTCTGTCAGGTGGTACTAGTCCCATACTCTGCATGGTCATACCACTGTGATCCTGCTCTGTCAGGTGGTACTAGTCCCATACTCTGCATGGTCATACCACTGTGATCCTGCTCTGTCAGGTGGTACTAGTCCCATACTCTGCATGGTCATACCACTGTGATCCTGCTCTGTCAGGTGGTACTAGTCCCATACTCTGCATGGTCATACCACTGTGATCCTGCTCTGTCAGGTGGTACTAGTCCCATACTCTGCATGGTCATACCACTGTGATCCTGCTCTGTCAGGTGGTACTAGTCCCATACTCTGCATGGTCATACCACTGTGATCCTGCTCTGTCAGGTGGTACTAGTCCCATACTCTGCATGGTCATACCACTGTGATCCTGCTCTGTCAGGTGGTACTAGTCCCATACTCTGCATGGTCATACCACTGTGATCCTGCTCTGTCAGGTGGTACTAGTCCCATACTCTGCATGGTCATACCACTGTGATCCTGCTCTGTCAGGTGGTACTAGTCCCATACTCTGCATGGTCATACCACTGTGATCCTGCTCTGTCAGGTGGTACTAGTCCCATACTCTGCATGGTCATACCACTGTGATCCTGCTCTGTCAGGTGGTACTAGTCCCATACTCTACATGGTCATACCACTGTGATCCTGCTCTGTCAGGTGGTACTAGTCCCATACTCTACATGGTCATACCACTGTGATCCTGCTCTGTCAGGGTGGTACTAGTCCCATACTCTGCATGGTCATACCACTGTGATCCTGCTCTGTCAGGTGGTACTAGTCCCATACTCTGCATGGTCATACCACTGTGATCCTGCTCTGTCAGGTGGTACTAGTCCCATACTCTGCATGGTCATACCACTGTGATCCTGCTCTGTCAGGTGGTACTAGTCCCATACTCTGCATGGTCATACCACTGTGATCCTGCTCTGTCAGGTGGTACTAGTCCCATACTCTGCATGGTCATACCACTGTGATCCTGCTCTGTCAGGTGGTACTAGTCCCATACTCTGCATGGTCATACCACTGTGATCCTGCTCTGTCAGGTGGTACTAGTCCCATACTCTGCATGGTCATACCACTGTGATCCTGCTCTGTCAGGTGGTACTAGTCCCATACTCTGCATGGTCATACCACTGTGATCCTGCTCTGTCAGGTGGTACTAGTCCCATACTCTGCATGGTCATACCACTGTGATCCTGCTCTGTCAGGTGGTACTAGTCCCATACTCTGCATGGTCATACCACTGTGATCCTGCTCTGTCAGGTGGTACTAGTCCCATACTCTACATGGTCATACCACTGTGATCCTGCTCTGTCAGGTGGTACTAGTCCCATACTCTACATGGTCATACCACTGTGATCCTGCTCTGTCAGGTGGTACTAGTCCCATACTCTGCATGGTCATACCACTGTGATCCTGCTCTGTCAGGTGGTACTAGTCCCATACTCTGCATGGTCATACCACTGTGATCCTGCTCTGTCAGGTGGTACTAGTCCCATACTCTGCATGGTCATACCACTGTGATCCTGCTCTGTCAGGTGGTACTAGTCCCATACTCTGCATGGTCATACCACTGTGATCCTGCTCTGTCAGGTGGTACTAGTCCCATACTCTGCATGGTCATACCACTGTGATCCTGCTCTGTCAGGTGGTACTAGTCCCATACTCTGCATGGTCATACCACTGTGATCCTGCTCTGTCAGGTGGTACTAGTCCCATACTCTGCATGGTCATACCACTGTGATCCTGCTCTGTCAGGTGGTACTAGTCCCATACTCTGCATGGTCATACCACTGTGATCCTGCTCTGTCAGGTGGTACTAGTCCCATACTCTGCATGGTCATACCACTGTGATCCTGCTCTGTCAGGTGGTACTAGTCCCATACTCTGCATGGTCATACCACTGTGATCCTGCTCTGTCAGGTGGTACTAGTCCCATACTCTGCATGGTCATACCACTGTGATCCTGCTCTGTCAGGTGGTACTAGTCCCATACTCTGCATGGTCATACCACTGTGATCCTGCTCTGTCAGGTGGTACTAGTCCCATACTCTGCATGGTCATACCACTGTGATCCTGCTCTGTCAGGTGGTGGTACTAGTCCCATACTCTGCATGGTCATACCACTGTGATCCTGCTCTGTCAGGTGGTACTAGTCCCATACTCTACATGGTCATACCACTGTGATCCTGCTCTGTCAGGTGGTACTAGTCCCATACTCTGCATGGTCATACCACTGTGATCCTGCTCTGTCAGGTGGTACTAGTCCCATACTCTGCATGGTCATACCACTGTGATCCTGCGTCTGTCAGTCAGGTGGTACTAGTCCCATACTCTGCATGGTCATACCACTGTGATCCTGCTCTGTCAGGTGGTACTAGTCCCATACTCTACATGGTCATACCACTGTGATCCTGCTCTGTCAGGTGGTACTAGTCCCATACTCTGCATGGTCATACCACTGTGATCCTGCTCTGTCAGGTGGTACTAGTCCCATACTCTGCATGGTCATACCACTGT